GCCCTGCCGCCGCCACAGCGCCCCCCGCGGCCGCGCGCAGCAGGCGGAGCCGCCGCGGCCACGTGCGCGGCGACAGCGACGAGATGCTCACGCTGCTCACCTACTCCGTGGTGCCGGTAGGGCCCGCGCGCGGTTCGCGGGGCTCGCGCAGGCTCCCGGCGGCACCGGCGAGTCCTTGTGGCCTTTCAGGGTTGTGCATCCCCTGCTGCTGAGCTTGGAAACTGCTGTCGGGACACAGTTATTCAGTAACGCTCCGCTGAGATGATTGTCCATGTGCGCCTGCGGAGGTTCTTTTGCAGTGGTACTACCTGGATGCAATTGTTGGGGTTACTAAGACTGTGGGAATAGGTGCTTATAACCCCAGAGTTTCATAGTGCAGTTGATTGGGGTTTTAGGATGTAGGGTTTGGGTCCTCCCCTTTCCCTAAGGACTTTTATACTTTGAGTTTAGAGTTTGCAGCACAAGATGCCCTCAAATCGAAGTTTTTTTCCCCCTAATTTCTGGTAGCATGGCACTTTGAAGGGTTTCCAGTTTCTAATGTAACTTGCTGATGCAGGAACTGTTTCCACTGGACCTTATGTGTTTCAGTAGAGCTTTTCATTTGCTGGAGTCTTAAAATCACATGGCTTTGTACTCAAAAGGTGCTTAAAATAATGTAAGTAACATACCTATCTTTTGGCAATTCAGAAAAGATGTAAAACTTTAGGTCTTAAGTGGAATATATATATTTGGTGAATCAAATGTTTATATGTTTCTCTTACTGGTTAGAGCTTTTTTTAAATTAGAAAACATCAAATGACTTGTCAGAAACATGTAAGAAAAAATAGAATGTTTTCTTTAGATTTTTGCAAAATTTTTGCAGCTTCTCCCAAATGTTTTTGTGTGCTATATCTGAATTCTTCACCAAACATTTGGCCAAAATTTCTTCCTGTTTTTCTTAACAGATCTTCTTTATATTTGGCAGTTACAGCTCAGTTTGTTCCATCTGCTTTGAATTGCTGCTTTGAATCCAAAGAATGCACAAACAAAATTATCACGGAGAAGATTCAGATGCTGGCAGGGCCTGAACGCCGTTGGTTCCATTTGCTGCTAGGTCCTCAGGCCTGGCTCATTTAATGGGCTGCCCAGGTGGCCTTGCACGGGCACTAGGCAAGCCAGCCTGTCATTAAGCAGCAGATGTGGCTTAAATGAATTTTATTGCCCTCCAAGTAGCACTGAGTGACATGGTGCATATTTTAACAGCATGTGACAGGATTGTTCACTTGGGCAACTCCTCCGTGTAAATCAGCGCTGTGGCTGCTGCTGTGTTAGACATGCTTCATSTAAACGTATTACCCTGCAGGGAGTTGCTTGCAAAATTTCCACTGAGCATTTTTCAATTTGGCTGCTTCTCAGAAAAACGCCTGTCTCGCTTGCTCAAGGGAAAAATCATTAGAAAAAATCTCGAGCAACCCCCTTTTGTGTTTTCATATTTGCTGCAGTATGAAGACCTGGGGACTCTGGCATGACTGACAAGTCTTTATGGGCAGTGGGAAGATGCCTCTTGTGTCAGTAGCCTTTAGAGTGATGTTCGGGGGCTGTATAGGGAGGCTTTGAGCAGAATCTCTTCTCTTGGAGAGATTTTATGCACAAACTGATATCTAGCAGATATCAGAACCTGTACACAACAGCTGGTTGGGGAAAATCTGTTTTGTGGACAACATTCAAGAATCTTTGAAATAATTTTAGATATTAACGATTGAGCTTCAGGAGCATAGGTATGGTTTTAGTTCTGTGTTTTCTGATAATGGTATTTATTTTTAAAAGAACAAAAATAAGAACCTGGCAAATCTGCTGTTGCAAGAGGACTGGTGAGAGGGTAGCTGTCCAGTTGTTTTTTTGAGCAGTGACCTTTACATGGGCTTTAAATTATGGAAGAGGTGGTAACCTCTGGATATTTTTTTAATTACCTGAATTGTTGCTTCATAGTTTAGATTGTTTCCTCATTTCTTCAGTCTTTCTTCATGAGAAATGTAATAATTAAACAAAATACATCTGTACCTTTCTTGGCAAATATGCTGGTTGGTAGGAAGGCTAATGTAATAACCTTCTTATGTTAAGATGAAGATTCTGATGTAGACTCTTTGTTACAGCACATTCAGTTTTTAAATGCCATTTGTTTCCATCACCTGGATTGCACCAGGGGGCAAAAATTGTGCTGCTGAGATAACTGGAAGGCTCAAAAGGGGGCTGTAGTCCCTTCAGCCATCTCAACAAAACCAATTAGATTAAAATGCAGTTTGGATTTAAAACAAAAGCAAAGCTAAACAACAACAACAAAAACACAATTGAACAACATGTATTCTATAAATTATAGTGTAGGAGCTAAATTCTTCCAAAAGATGATAGGAAAGAGAACAAATAAATTCTGATATGCCGAATCATATCCTCTCTGATAAATGATAAAGAGTCTAGAACTTCTAAATATTTTTATATTTTAGTACAGTCTGGAATCAAGTGTGTCTAACAATTAAAATTTGTAATCAGATGTAGTTTGATTTTTGCAGCAGAAGATGTGCTATCAAAATAATTTTCATTCATTTTAATCTATTACAGTAGACCTTTGAAGCTAATGATGCGTGCGTATAACAATGAGGACTGGTAGTGACAAGCAAGCTTAGGTGCTAGTGTTTAACATCATTCTTTGTCATTTGTAGTAACTTGCACTTTTTCTGTATTTTGAGACTAGTGTATTTGAATATTTGTAAATAAAACAATTGTACTAAGCTGAATAGCTTATTTCTATGTAAAAATGTTCATAAATTGCCAGATACTGCAAAGGTCTGAAATAATAGTCTTTCTTCTTTGAATATAAAAAGTTAGATTTTTCTCATAGAAAGTGAAGGCAGTTCTAGTGCTCATTTTTTTGTAATGTTCTTCTTATTTCTGTTGAAAGTCTTGATGAGTTGCAAAACAGTTTATATTCTTGTTTCTCAGCGTGCAGTAGTTGATATGAATATCTGACCAGCCAGAATGAACAGTTCACTTCTGAGTTTTTTTAATTCAGGCTTTCTGCAAATGTGACAGAATCTCAGTACACCAGAGTCCAGTAAATGTGTTCACATAGTCTTCAGGAGCGATCTACCCCAGAGTGTCTTTTAGACTGGAAGGGCAGCGTGTCGTGGCAGTGGAGCACGGCTGGTGGAAACAGAGCTATGGCAGCAGACTCGCAATTTGGCTAATACAGCTTTGTTGCAAATATTCGCTGTAAATAAGTATTTGCTGTTAATAGATATAACAGTAACGCTGTATCAGCAATTTGCATACAGATATGAGAAGTGTAAACCTCCCTGCATGCTGAATTGTTGGATATATGAAGTTAACTCTCTATTTTTGCCCTTTCAGTTGCAGTTTACTCTCTTGTGATAAGCTGAATGATATCCTAGCTTGATGATCAATCAAATACAACTGTGATAAGTTTACATTGACAACATACGATTTAGTTGATAAATTTTGGTCTGCACTGGATTAAAGAACCTGTATGAATTCATCTCCTTTGTCTTGGTTTTGTAAAGTCTGTCACCACTGGATTTTAATATTTTGAACAGAAGACGATTCATTCCAACTTCACAAATCTGAGTTATCCTAAGAAAAGGAAATAAATGACTTGGAGCATAGCTTATCTTCCACACTGGATGTATTTGGTTGGAAAAGCATCCATCATTTGATATAAATCTAAAATATATTTGAATTTAACATTTACTAGCTCATCTGAGTTTTTAACACTTTCCATTCATAGAGCTATGTATGAGCAACAACATCCATTATAATTAAAGTAAGATGTAAAGTTTAATGCCGGATGCATAGAGTTGTCTGCCCAATATTTTCTTATCTTCAGTAAGGTTTAAAATGAAATACACTGAACAAATCCTTATAAGGGAAATACAGTCTAAAAAGATAGTGTTGCAATGTTAAAATAAAATATTAAATATTTTGTTCTTCTAAGTAAAAAGAAGATGGTTAAGTCTTTATCGTCTGTACGATTTTTGTAGCCAAGGTAAATGGGATTATTTTCTTGGGATTATTATGGCTGGCATTGTTTTGAACTTTATTTTCTTTGCAATTTTAGGTCCGAGTAATGATGGATTTATGTAACAGCTCAAAAGGGATATGTTTAACAGGTAAGTTTTCTGCTTTAAGCATTACACTTTTTTCCTTCAGGAATACAAAGATACAATATTTACAGAGAGTTTGAAATTGAGTTTAGAATGTCAAAGACATATGCTATTTACTGTATCATGATTGGATTATTTATTTTAAAAGGATACATTTATTTTTAAAAGATCATAAGTTTACAATTTGCTTATATTTATTATAAATACAGGRATCTAAGGAATTCAGGTTATGATTCTTGGATCTATTTCTTCCTGTGTAGTTTTCCTCAACAAAGCTTATTAGAGTTGCATGTTTAAAATACTGTTTGGCATTTAGTCTTGGTATTTTTGCATGTCACCCCAAAATTAAAAGCATGGCATGGGATGAATACATAAGTTATGGAAACTTTCTTCCGTTATTGTAGTTGCTACAGAGTGATGGGACTTAGATAAGCAATGTTTTTACCTTCTAAGCATTAGGAGTGTGGCAACAGGTTGTCTGCTTTCACGTATCAGTGGGGACTTGGAACAGGCTTATGACTTGAGCACCAGATTTGAGAAATTTCTATGTGAAGTGGAAGAAAATGTCAAGTAGTAGCCAGTTTAAGAGCTTTGAAGATGCTAATGGACTGAGCTGTTTAATCTCTTTGAAAATGAGAAGACTGGAAATCAGCCACTATTTAAGAGTTTAAGAAAAACACTCCACTTGCTGTCTGGCTTATCTTTTCAATTGGCTGTAAGGGCTATTTGACTATTGCTTTGAACACAAGTAACAATTACCGTAGCATAGCGAGATATTAAACACTACTTCTGAAACTGCTCACAAATTCTGCTTGCAGCAGAGGCTGAACCACAGACAACATAAACGTGTGTTTCTTTAGTCTCCAGAACTCTGAATTCATGTCTGCTTCATCTGAAGCAACTGAATTGCTTTCCAAAGCAACTGCACGGTGCCTCTCCACACAGTGATGTGGTGTGTGCCTCTAACACTGACTTTTCTGCTAAAGCCTTCTATGACACTCCTTCTCGGGTGCATTTCTTGTTTATCTTATTTATCTTATGCTGATACGAGGATAATCAGGATCCTCAGAGTTTGAGATAATAAAGTGGCTGAAGGAAGTAATGGACATCACATGCACAGCATGAAAAATACGGTAATTTAGTGGAAAATTGTCAGACAGTTATTAATTGATGTTACTGTCTGTACTGATTAAAAGTGAGCATCTCTGCAATGGCATTGTAACGTGCTTTTCATTTTACTCACATAGCTTTCTAGTTAAAGCTAAAAATTATCATATTTAGAAGAAGCTTTGCAATTTCTATAATTCTTTGTTTTACATAGTTTTACTTGAAATATGAGAGTCCTTTGTCAGCCGGATAGAAATGTCTACAGACTTCTGAATTGCAGCAAGCACCTTTCTTAGAATTCCCATTTTTTAACAAACGTGTTTTGGAGGTCACATAAGATAAATCTTGTTACAGAAACATTTTGCATTCCTTATTCTTGCCTGCTAAGCTTCCTTCTTACTAAAGCATTGTCAGAGAGAACAAGATGAATTTCTGTATATTGCATGTTGCTGAATAAGGTGAGTTGAGTTTCTAAAATACGGCACATTTCTGTGAACAGTCTGATCCAGTCCACAGAGCAATTAAAAGTAAAAGCTCAACTGTACTCAGTTGTGATTTAGATGCAGCTAATAGGCATGGCATTTTTTCCCTATTCAGATAGACAGGATCCTGAAAAGCACAGGGAAGCATGTGTTTTTCATGTATGTTTTGTACAGATTTTTTAATCATTACTTTCACCAATACTTTAAAGTTATTATACTACTAAAAATGATTTCAGAGTTCCTTATATATTGGAAATAAAATGTGATGATTTAGGTTTGTGACTTTGGAAAGGCACATGGACTTCTAATATTGAGATTATGCTTTATCAGATGCTTCTTAAACCTTTTTCATTTGGAATTTGCASATTTGTGTATATAGCTGTCTATGAGGGTAATCTTTCGGTAAGTGTAGCTGAGTTTATGCTAATGCCTTGTTATTAATTTTAATACAAAACTGCTAAATCTATAGATACAAATTTTAAAATGTGAAAGGCTTATCCTTCCTTTCACTCTTCTAAAGAAATGCTAATAAATTCAGTTTGGGAATTGATTTCAGCATTCTTGCTAGATTAATCTCACAGTTTCTTCTTTTTCTTGTGTTTCTTTGCTTGTTCTTGATGGAGGTCCCCCTGGTCCCCCAGGTAAGATACTTTCGCAATTGCAGTAACATTTTTGTATAATTGAAACAGTTGCTGGTATAAAATGCTGCAGTGTAGGAAAGTAACTCTTACAGATTAGCCCTCTTCTGCTAATTAGAACRAGGAAGTATTGAATGAGTGTTTTTTAAATTTCTGTACTTGGGTCAACTTGTGTCCCTTCAGAAGTGAGGGAGGCTTTAGGTATTGTCGTTTCACTGCCTGCACTGGAGGGCATGGAATAGCTTCATTTGCTAAAACATCTTTGATTAAAACCCAATGGAAAACTTAGCTGAAGAGATGAGTAAATACAAAAGGAATAAACTGGCATTTTATTTAAACATTAAAAGCATTTCTTTAAAATTTTAGTTATATTTTTCTTTTCCATAAAACTTTTTTTTTAATTTATTTAATTATCTCTGGTCTAACTCATGGTTGCTAGGTACATGAATGACTACCTTCTTTCCCTGCTTTTTTAGCTTAGAATCATGTTCTATATCAGAAAAGTATCAGGTACTTTTTGTTTGGGGGATTCAGATAACGACATGGGAAGGAAAAATGGCTCCAGTGTCAAGCCAACCACACTTTGACACTACAAGAACCTGGGCAAGTAGGTAAAGGTTTGTGTCACATATGTCTGGCAGGTGTCAGAAGCAATATTAAAACTTACGTGGCTTAGGGAGGATACTGTGGTTGCTGTCAGAATCAAGAACAAGACGGATTCCCCTGCATTTGTCTTTGAAGTAGAATCCAAAGGTTGTATAACTAGCTGTTTATGAACAAAAGAAAAAAAGAATGGTTCTGTATTGTCATAGTAAATGTAATGGATAGTAGTGTCTAATAAGTATCATTTTTAAGGATTAATTGCATTTAGCAGTGAAAATTCAGCTATGCTGTTTGTTCTGTCCAGGACCTCCTGGACTGGATGGAATGCCTGGTCACAATGGATCAGATGGAGTTCCGGGTATACCAGGACAAAAGGGTGAACCAGGATTAAATGGAAAAAGAGGAAAAATAGGTATTTAGAGTTTTTGATTTTCTTTATTATAATTCCTTCTTTACTGTTCTGATCAAATGCAATTATCTTAAGACTAGATTTATTTCTAACATACGCTTGCAGGCATGCTCAGACTTCTAGTAGTACAAGTGTTGCATTTCTCTCTTCTGAAGTGTGAAAATAATGCCTTAAAAATCACAGCTGTTACCGATATGTTCTAACTATATCGCTGCATACTTTTCCTTAGTATTTCTACTTACCCAAGAATGGCCAGATTTCTCTCTCTTTCATATTGAAAACTTGGAGAAAAGTTGGTAAAGAATGTAGTATATGCACCTAATGGATTGTATGCCATTTCCTTGTGTATTCAGTTCAAAACAAAACAAATTACACAGTTAAACTTAGCGAGGGGAGGGAACATAATTAATAATGTGGAAAACCGTAATAATGGGTTAATTTTGCGGTTTTTTTTTTTTTTTAATACTGACTTTGGGAACATGCTTTTTAGGGAAAGAGTGTCCTTTTTAGCACTGCAATGCTTCTTATTTCTAGGTGCCCCAGGACCGAAAGGTGAGCAAGGAGCAAAAGGAGAACCAGGAGAGATGGGTTTACCTGGCAAGGATGGTATGCCAGGAAGAAAAGGTGCAAGAGGAGCAAAGGGTGAAAAAGGGGATGCAAACAACAATGTGATATTGGAAGGTAGGAAGAAATGCTCTTAGGAGCTCTCTTGGAACATCATATGGGGAGGAGGGGGGAAGACATGCTCTGCTTTTGCAGCATGAATGTAATCTACAAGAGTAGGACCAACCAAATTCAACCAACCGTGTTATGTACAGTGGAGCTTTTGGGTATAGCTGCAATTCAGATATTAGAATCCCTTAGTAGTAGTCTCAAGAGTATCTGCAGATCCAGGGAGTTAAAAGAACTGCCCAGGGTATTATGTTCCCTTTATAATGCAGTTACGCAAAAGCTTTCGTATTCAGACTTTGGATGGGAGTTTTGTGAATTCCAGCATGCTTTTAGATAGATCATTTCCTCCTACTCTTCTTACAGTGCATTTTTTTTCCTATTAGAGAACAGAGGACAGATTTCTATTCAAGAATGCATGAGTGAAGCATTATGACAATTACAAGCACAAGCTGCCTAAAATGATAGCACTGTAGATGTCAGTAAGCCAGACAGATGATCTGTGTTAAAACTTGTGAAATTCCATTGATTCTTTGGTTACCAGACAGCAGCCAGTGAGTTTATTGAGCTATATTCCTGTACACAGTAACTCTTAAGAAAAGTGAGGCCACTTCAGAGAAATCTCCAAATCTATCATATCAGTATCATATCATATCACGGACTTCTCTGCAGGTTGCTTGTTTGCCTACAGGGCCTGCAACATCCTGCTGTGTTTTGTGCCCAGGTACAAAAGGTGAACCTGGACCACCAGGGCCCCCTGGACCACCTGGGCCCCCAGGACCTCCAGGAAAACGTAAAGGTAAAGCACAACTTCAGGAGAATATGTACAGCAGCAAATGCGCAGGTTAGTTCCTTCCTTTGTTCTCTCTAGCATTCTTGACAGGTTCAAGATTATATTAATTGACCCGACTCTCACATATTTTAAACATATTTTAATTGTCTTGGCTTCAATAAAGCTGCACAAATGGAAAGCTGAAAAAAAATTAAAAAAAAAAAAAAGATTTTGAAGTATCCACTTCAAAAAAATTATATATACCAGAAGAGGAAAATCTTTTTTCTGTCAGTGAATTATCACCAGGAGATGAGGCAGAGCTAGCGATTTAGGAACATGGGTACCACAAACTGTGGTATTATGGTAACCAGAAAAATTCTGTTCGAGCTGTCACCTGATTATGGTAAGCAAAGAAAAGCTATTACAGAGCAGCACTGTATTTCTAGCAGTTTGGGAGTGGAAGGAAACTTTTGTTTTCTTAATAGATGTGCTGGATGTGACCTCTGCTGTCCTTGTCCTTAAGYGCTGGCTAACAGTACTTTTGGTACCAAAGATGATTGCTGCTTGCAGTTACACTCGCTGCTGCGGAACTTCTGGGACCAATTTTCCTCCCAGAGGAGAAAAGTCTTGTTTTTGGTGAGGTCAGTGTGATCCGATAAATGGAAGCAGAGAATGTCTTGTTTACTAATCTTCCTTCTTCACATTTCTAGAAGAGAAAGTAGCTGTCTCTGAAAGGGTTTGGTGAAGTGGGCTTTCTTTTGTAATTGAGAATGTAGCTTCTTGAGAGGCACACCAGAGGTGAATAGCATGAAAATTTCATGCAGTTAAGTCTGATGTACACTGTCTGATGAGGGTCTCTCACTGTTAGTAGGGCGATGTGATTTTATACTCCAGTGATAAAGATGTGTAGAGAGGATAGAGTTCTTCTCCAACATTAAGAGAAAAAACTTCTGGTGGTAGTGGATCTGAAATGTTCTTCTCCTGTCTGTCTTCTTTCTTTTTTCTGCCAGGTTGCCTCCACTAGCCCTTCAGGTTGACTCCACTAGCCCTTTACCCTTTTTTTGGTAAAGTACTCAGTATTAAGGCTTTCTGGCACCTAAAATGTCTCCTGTAAGGAGATAACTGGTGATAAGCCATTAACAATGTTAATTTTAGCCTGTAATTTTGAGCAAAGGTTAGTATGTGCATTARTATTTCCTCTGACCGTCATTCTGAACAGTTTGCTAAAACTGTTTTGTATTATACCTGCTATTAACCAGTTGCACTGTTTCATACTGAATGGAACATATATCATCATTTATTTCCCCCCTTGGTCTTTTAAGAGGCTCCTCCTTACAATGAAAAGTAGATAGCTGAGGAGAAATCTCATCCTAATTGTGATATAGAAATGTAGGAACTGCTGTACAAGATATAATAGGGCCATTTATGCAGGTAGCCTGTTTCAGAAGTGTGGAACAGACTGAGGTGCTTTGGAGGATAAGCTATTTGGTGGTTTTCTAAAGGTTTTGAAACCCTGATGGGCTAATGGAAGTAATGTTCAAATAATGTGTCAGAGAAAAGATTTTCCTCAAGTAATGTTTACTTTTTATGATCAGTTGGCTGAGATATCATTATTAAAATGCAAACACTAAACCAACTTTTATAATCTGAAGATTAAATATTCTTCTGCTTTTAACAAAGGAGAACACACATTCTGCTTTACAACTGTAAATTCTTATGGGTGTGTATATATATATATAAATGTGTGTGTATAAATGTATATATCAATAAAAGAATGACTATAAGAATGTTTTCCTCAAATACAATTTTGAAACAGTAARTCTTGATTTTTGTTTTTCTCTCAATGTTACTGTTAGCTAATACTGAAAGAAACAAAACATATCTTCCTTTTTCCCTTGTTCCCTCCATCCTTCTCTTCCTCTCCCCTTCTTCTCTCCACTTTCCCAGATAGTCCAAATTGGTAATTTTATTGTCTTGTCAACTATTTCCTTTTAGCCAGAATATTTTAAGTTCAGAATCAGCAGGATTTTTTTTGGGGGGGAGGGGAAGCAATAGAAATTGCATGTAGCAGTCTCTGATTACAACCTTGAAAATTTGTATTACCAAAAGTCATTGATAAAAGGATGGAAGAAATATGTTTTGTTCTTGCTGTGTTTGAAATAGTTTGTTTCTGCACAAACAAAGAATATAACCTACAGGAGAAAGCAACAGTGCAGTGTAACCTGTCCTTTCCTCCTCCCAGAGGTCACACTATCCTTTCAGCATTACTTTACCATTATATCCTTTTTTTTTTTTTTTTTTTTTTTTTTCTGACATCTATTGAAAAGCAACAATGAGTTTGCAGCCTGCCTGTCAGGCGGTGAGAACTGTATGAAGGGACAGGATGTTAGAGTGGGATTAGCAAACAAGGCTGCAGTGAAATGAAGTATCTTCAGATCAGAGTGGAGTTCGTTCTTTGCTCTAAGCAAAATAAAATGCCTTGTGTTGTTTTAAAAGCAAAAGATTTCTGGGTTTATAGAAAAAGATATCTTAAGTAATTTCTTTTAGACATTGTTTTAACAGGCTATACTAAGGAAAAACCTAATCAGCTCTCCTTTCAGTGGTTGAGAGATGGGGAAAAATATGTTTATTTTGTATATAATTTTATTCAGTCTTTCATGTCTCTACTATTATAGAGTAAAAATGGCACTGATGACTGACCTGCATTCTTATGACTAGATTTTCAGTGTGTGTGTTAGTGTGCTACTAATGTTTTGGACATTTGTGGGACGTTTGGACAATTGCCTATGGAGCATGTCCCAGCTGCTGGTGTACGTAGGTCTGGACATGAAGMTTTGAGTTTACCTCTCACAAATTCCCAAAGAAATATTTTTGACACTATTGACAAATCAGCCAACTGCCAACTTTCTGAATGGTCTAGGTTTTTTTGAGGAAGGGTGCAAAACTGTCTTTCTACTCAGAAATTCACAGCTAAGTAATTACATCTGTTGAACAAAAGTATTTACTTAAATTTAATGGTCAAACGGACAACTTCAGGAAACAAACTGGGCCAAACAGTTTTCTATGGAAAAGGGAGACAAGGTCTATCCTTTGTTTATTTATTTTCCAGAAAAAAAAAATAGTTTTTCCCAGTTATAAACACCCTCTATCTCAGAGGAATGAATACTTTTCAATTCCTGGCTCAAAACCATATCTTTGCCTGGAGATTTAAATTACTTTTGTTTCTGGTGTTATATGTTAATAATGTGGAGGCTTGGGAGAGAGCTAATTGACCTGATCTTGGCAATTCTGTAAACCAAGGAGAGACATGATTAGAACTTGTGAACTTTTGGCCTCACTTTTAAGTTCGGCCCATTAGACAGTGTAGTTYAGTGTAAACATGACATAAGTGCCATGCTTGCCTAGATAAGAGAATTCTAGAAGAAAAATACTATGGTGATAGCTGTGCTGCCAAAAATAGAGTATTACTAGAGAGCAGGTGACAGCAAGTGAAGCTTGAAACAGGATTGCTTTTCATAATAAAACAATGACAAGGAAAAGCTTTCTCCCCKTTAGTGCTTTTGCGTCCCGTATATGGGAATCTTATATAATTTTAATAATATATAGTGTACTAAATTTTTAATTGTGAACATATATGGGATAAAGGTTAAATCTTTCCCTCTAACTAACCTTCATTTTAATGGAAAGAAAACTCTTCTATTTGAAAAATAAGAAATTTACTAGGCCAAATGCCATATAGAGGAAGATGCTGTTTTTCTTGTTCCCTTTCTCTCRATTGTAGGTGAGACATGTGCTGCTCCAAATGATGACACTTTGGTTGGAAAAGCTGAAGAGAGAACCAGTGATCATTCAAAAAAACCTGGTAATCTGCTTCAGAAAGCAAGACTAACTGCTGCTTACTGCTTCAAAGCAGAGATAATGAACCCAGCTTTTTTCTCTACCAGAGTGTGTTATAACATCTGTAGGAACTCCTRTTCACCTTGTCACTGTGCAACAAACGTTTGGAACTTGGATGCGGGAACCTGCTAATATAAGTGATGAGCGGATTTGGCTTACCATGCATTTTTCAGGTACACTAGGAATTGTTCCTGAATAAAAGCCTCCTGCAAAATTGATATTGCTTTCTTAATTCTCAGAGTCATGGAATACTTAGAAATTGGAAGGGATCTCTGGAGATCATCTGGTCCAAACACCCTGCTCGAACAGGGTCTGCTAGAGCAGCGACCCACCTGGCTTTGAATGTCTCCAAGGATGGAGACTCCACAACCTCCCTGGGCAATCTGTTCAARTGTCAAAACTTAAAAAATGTTTTTGTATGAAATTCTTTTAATCTAAAATAATATTTCTAGTTAGGTCTGATGATTTATTTTACCCACATGTATCTACATAAAATTGTATGTGTCTTTCTTTTCTTTTTCTTTTTTTTTTTTTTTTTGAAGTTTCCTGTGGTTTTACTTTCCTAAATTGTATGTAACTATTTTTTGCCTTGCAGCTTGGTAAGGCATGACAGTGAATCAGTTCTGTGTGAGGCATGCTTAGTGCAGGACAAATTTCAAGACTGAAGTGGAAAAAAATGAAATATTGTATGTATATATTTGCCAACTGTTTTTAGAATTTGAGCCCATAAGGTTAGTGGGGTGCAGGCACTTGAACAACTTTATAGGTTTGTGGTGTTTGATTATTTTACTCTGTTCCAGTGTTCTTGAATCAGTGCTGAAAACACAGATATGCCTGTCTATCAGAAACTTGATTCTTGTTGAATTTTAGTAGAGAACGAAATTTMGGGTAGAAAGTTCAGAAATTAGATAAACCAAATGACAGTATTCTCATGTTGTTGCCTCYATTTAGGAAACTCTATAAAAGAATATGAGAATTCCAATGCGTTGCTGAATGACAGCTACAGGATCATTAACATCACAGGATTCTTCTATGGCTGTGGTCATGCAGTACAAAATAATCATCTGTACTATCAAAAGGGAGGAACCAATGTCATTCTGAAGTAAGTCAAACAGTTGTCTTAAAGCAAATGATATTTTGGAAGGAGGAGCAATTGCTAACAGTGATGCAGAGGAAACTGAGCCRGAAATGCAGACAACTTTTCTGTACCTTCATGTTTCTTTGGGAGCCTGTCTAGACTGAGAAGAATGGAGGGAGTGACTGCTAAGTTAAAGAATGGCTAATTCTTTCCCAACTGGGGAAGTGGAAACTGCTTCGGTCTCAGTTTAGGGACCCAGTTTAGGGTCCCAGCTGTGGTGGAAACGCGCCTGTGGAGCGCTGCACTGTGCAGCATCTTGGCTTTGTGGGCTCCTGCCGGRGTGCCATAAATGCCTTGTGCTCAGAGAGCACCATTCATAGCCAGCAGAAGTTGAGATGTTGGCTCACAGCGCTGGTGTGGAGGAATGTGCTAGGGCACCTGCTGAGGACGTGGCGACCCAGTGAACTGCATGTTCCATTGCTGAGGAGGCTCCACTGCTTGATTTCTCCTAATCAGAAATTTCTACAATTGTCCCAAAATATCTTTCTGCATTTGAACTGGGAATTGCATCTATATTTCTTCACTTTCTACTGAGGACAGAGACAGATAGCAAAAATCCAAAACAAAATGCCATCTTGTAGGAAGAGCCAAGTACAGACAGACCAAGGGCAAATAAAAGATTGCATCTGCTTTCAAGTTGCCTCATATGACTGATGTTTGTAGAACACTACAATACTTTGATGTGTTTTTCCAAGCAGGTGTGAGCATCTTCCTATTACCCTCTGTAAGCCAAGGAATGTGAACAAGCTGCTGGGATTGTATAATATTTATTTGGACAGAGACATGCCCACCTTTTGGCAATCTCYTTTACGTACTGCCAGGGTTTTTTGTTTTTTAAATGGCCAACTGTAAGCGAAAGAGGGATTGGACTGAGGTTCATAACCCTTCCTTGGGTGCTAGTACTAGGGAACTGCTTTCACGTACAGGTCAACACAGGTTATCTATAAAAGTCTGAAAACCTCTCTAAGAAGTGTTGAGAGATGGGTTTTTTTTTTTTTTTCTGTACAGTTAGGGTATCTTAGGATTATTTACCTCCAGCACAGATAGGACTAAGCACCATGAACTCTTTTCCTTCTAGAAGGAATTTTCCTTCTATTGCAAGTTCTGGGATCTGAGATGTCCCTGTCATTGACTCTGCCTTTTCAGCAGCTTTTAGAACTGCAGCTTATTACTGAGTAATGTTTTTTTTTTTACTGAGTAATATTACCATCCTGTTAAGGAATTTCAAGGAATTTAAACAGTTTTGTTACATTAGAGGTAAGACATTCAGTCCCTCCTGACGGATGTGAGCGGGAGGTCAGATTGCTGCCCCTGCAAAAGYAGAACTTTTGTTCCTTTGATGTTTATTAGAGCAAAGCATGCTATTATCTGGACTGTTTTTAAAAGAGGAGCTCTAAGACTAGGTGAACTTGCCCAGAATTCATGCTGCTTTATCCACTGCATTTTTTTTCCTCCTTAGTTCAACTTAATAAAAAGCATATTTTTGTACCCTCTTCCTTTAGCGTGTGGTGCTTAACTTACTATCTAATTCATTTTCTCACCCATTTCTTTAGTTAGCTTCTTTCATCTTGATGATAACAAAAATGTTCATAGACTAAATAAAGTGAAACCTACCAAAGTGAGATCAAGCACCTGTTAGATTAGCTATTACTTTGGAATTTCTGTATATAAGTTTTTTTTTTCCCCTAGTGCTTTGAAAGGTGTTCTGTGAAGTACTTCATCTTAAAATTTTGACAGCAGCACAGTCCTTGAGCTCAAATATTATYAACAGTCATATAGTCAGAAACAATTCACCCAAGCAGTGTGTATAAAAATGTATTCTGACAGAATATACTGAATACTTATTTTATTTCATTTCAGACTCGGACTCGATAAAGCATCAGCGGGCACACTGATAATTGAAAATGCACTATATCATGGTCGTAACTATCTCTTTTCTAACTCGAAGACGTATTTTAATGTAGCAGTGGATGAAAAGGGTCTTTGGATTATATATGCCTCAAGTACTGATGAAAATATAATAGTAGCACACGTTGATGAAGAGACGTTTTCAGTCATTCGGCACATCAACACTACATATCCTAAGTCCAAGGCTGGTAATGCATTCATAGCGTGTGGAGTTATGTATGTTACTGATACTAAGGATATGACAGTAACGTTTGCTTTTGATTTATTGAAAGAGAAGCAGATAGATGCAAGTTTTGAATTACGCTCTTCACARTCTGTTCTTGCTATGCTGTCATACAGTTTAAGAGATAAGAACTTGTATACTTGGGAAAATGGAAGTTTAATGGTATACCCTGTACGTTTTGGCAGATGAATATGCTATAGAATGRTGTGTTGTGGGAGCTAATCTATTTGGCTAAATAGATTATTTAAAGCTATATCATACATAGCAGTTGGGTCTCTTCCCTTCTCAATATACAGCTCTTCGCTGAGGCAGTTTTATGCATGCATTACAGGGAGATCAGCCCCTTTTGTATAAGTATGCTTAAAATTATACAGGCCATTTCTGGCTTTTTAGGAGGAGAGTTGTCCAGTATTGCAGCTGGCACCCAGCACAGACTTGCTTTTGTTTTTCCTCTGTTATTCAGCCTGTAATTTACATTTAATGTACACTAATTATTCCACAGTCATGTGTTCAGCAGTGACTATTTTTAACTCACAGTTGCAATTACCTTATCTGCAATCATTTTCTAGTCGGTGATTATGGTTTAGTATAAATGTCTAAATAATGAACTCTTGTGTACAAATACATTTATCTATCATTTTCACTTAATACTTCCTACTGCCTCTCTGAATATTTTTGATAATAATATACAGCTGTTAAAAAGGAGGAGGATGGAAGCAGCTGTTTAAATAGGGAAAAAAAGCAGAAACTTGAAATCGATGAGTCTGACCAACCATTACCTAATCAAAAGTGAAATCCAGCCCAAGTATAARGAGAATGGGAATAACAACACGATTAAGTATTGTGTTGAGTGAAGGGGGAAGAAAAGTAATTAGATATAAACTAATAAAAGATGTCAATATATAAGATTAAAACTCCATTTTTAACAGTGTTTGAGTTGCTTGTGTTGCTGCAGACTCCTTCTTCCTCCTCAYGGGTATGTAAACTATAGCATTTCATGGGAGTATAACTAACTGGATTGTGCAGTTATTTTTCTAATAAATATTCCCCGCATTCATCAACTGTGTGGGAGCTATAGGTAAAAAATCCTAGGAACTTTTCGCTTTCAATTTTTGTTTCAATATTTCAGGTTTCTGAGTCTCATATTGCTACTTGTTTGTCTAAATTAAATATTACAACCTTAGAAAACTACCTCAATTTCTAAGCTTCCTCTGGTGATTGATKGATAAAGTCCATTGACTTTATCTAAATATTCTTAGGCAGAAGGTGCCAGTTAAAGTACCTTCTACTAGAAGGTACCTTGCACGGTGCTGTTGAATGCATGTTTGAGAACTCCGCACGCTGCACAGGACTAGTGAGCTCGGGAGGTGTGTGGCTGCAGCCGCGTTGCGCAGGCGGGAGCGCTGCGGCTGCCACGCTGCCCTGCCCGGCCCTCGCTGCTCTCACGAGGGGCCGGGAGGGCTGAGCAAATGCATGCAGAGATACAAAAGGCCTTTGAACTGATACATATGTCAAAAACGGTAAACCAAGAATTCTAAATATCTGTACTTGAAAAGAAGAGTGCAAGGCTTCAAAGTCCAGAGCTAAGGGCCTACGTTACTTTTCAAAATGCATTGCACGATTGATAGAGTAGGCTTTGGGACAAGAATTGGGCATGTACAGTTCAAGCAAGATGCAACAACTTCTATTTAATGTGCAAATAACAAAACCAAATCCATGTTAAATTTGTGCATAGCCAGCCCAGCAGTGACCAACTTGGTCTCRGACTCTTCTATCAGTGACAGAAGTGTGGGGACAGGTTTATGTGCTAGACAAGTGGGTTTTTGCAACTGCAGGGGTTGGAGATGAAGTTCTTTTCGTTAATCTTATGCTGTTCTAGCACAGCTGAAAGGAAAAAGCCAAAAGCTAATCCTTTTTATTAAGAATACAGTCTGAATTCAAGTGAAAGCTAGATCAGAGAGTGGCCAGTCAATCTACTTCAATTAATATACTTAAATGCAAGAGAAACAGTTCTGGAATGGACTGGTCCATGAAATAAAAGTAATTTATTTAACTTACAAAGGTAAAATTAACCAATGACATTTGCTTTTCTTTCCTTTCCTACTTCATAGCCTGTAGTTAAAGTTGCCTTTGGAGAAAGGTGCTTTTTTAATCCTATTATATTTTACAATACAGCACAGACATCAAAATTTTCAATGAAGAATTAAGATGATTTGTTAACATTTAAATATGCAGACATCTGTTCCAGTGCTTTAAGAACATGTTTTTTGTTTACAACAGAGAAAAATACATCTGACAACAGTAGCTAGTATATTACAAGCAAACAATATTGAGCTCTGCATAGTTTATACAATATGCTGTGGTAATAATTTAGATTACCAGTTTTATCAACTATTTACTAGCTGGCCACATGAAGCCTGACATTCATCTGAAATGTGGCATTGTACGGTCTATTGGTATTCTCTTAATAGCTTCATTTAATGAAGTAACTTGGACAAATGAATTTCAAAACTAAAAGCTGATTTAGAAATGTGGAAATTTTCACTACAAACATTTAATGCTCACAGTACATTCCTAAAGTAAAGGCAGGTCTCCAATATAAAACATAGCGTCAGAAAGAAAGGAAAACACTGTGCAAATTAAAAATATCGCATTTAAAATGTGTTCATGTGCAAGTTATAGTATCAACTGTATATTAACACTAATTGGGAAACAAAAGTCTCAGCATAAAGTGATACACATCTCACAGTACGTTCTTGATTGCACATTGTTCCACGGCRTTTGCATCCATTACACTTTCTTGCAAAAGATCATATACACTGAGTACCCTTAATTAAAATTAAACTATTTTACAACGTGAAGTCATAGACATGCCTCAATTTGTGGGAAAAACTGGAAGAAAAATCTTAATTGCATCAGAAATGCTAACTGTCCTGTAGAGCCACAGCGCTTGTTAATTGCTGACCATAGTGCAGGTTCTGACCAAGTGAGACTTGCGGGTYACTGAGCCCAAACCCACCTCGGGCTCACAGCACTGCTCGTGATTCGTTGCTTTTGCAGTGCAGCTCATGCATTGCAACGTCACAGATTCTTGGAGCTGTACCTAAAATGACCTGKTTTTTTTGTTTGKTTTTTTKTKTTTTTTTTTCCTGTCTTTCCCATAATACTTAATGCTGATGTAATTGCTTTGAAAGCAAACAGAATAGGTCCTTTCCACAGTGTGTATCACTGCATTTTTAGCTACCTAAATAGACATTATATAAAAACAAGATTAGCTCACACCAATCTTACAGAATGTCAAAAATGCCTGAAGGGATGTTGAAAGCGTTGGGAAGAACTCGCATTTTCAGTGTGCCATCTGCTCCACAGGAGAAGATACGATTGCCCTGCACCGTTTCAATCTGGGTGACGCCAGCACCAATATTTCTGAAGATGGACTGCTTAGCATGTTCATTTTTGAATGAATGAATTAAACTGTAGCCTGTCAGTCTCCACACCTGTATCAGAACAGAAGCAAATTAGGCAAGAAGATTAAAACTAGGATTTGTATTTTTTTCCTAATGCTTCAGCTCCTTCCTGCTGTAAGCTTCCTGCTCCATTCAGCAAACATAAAGGAACTCTTTTGTTGTCAGCACTAATTACAAGTTCAAGAGTCTTGGGAGGCTCTTGGTGAAGCATAAGGAAGGACATCATAGGGTTATTTAATGGAGGAGAGCTGGTTGCCCCCTCTTCTCCTGCCAGCAGTGCCCTCAGCTGCGGTGTGGAAAGGGAGGGGAGTTTTATCGAAGGGAGCAGTGTCAGCTTCTCAGCAGATGGAGATGTTTTCCTGCTAAGGAGCCGTGCAGAGTCTGCTGTACAAGCACGGCAGGCAGAGGCGGCAGCCCCGCTGTGCAGGTGGCTGCTACGTGCCAACTTTGGAAGCCCCATCAAGCCCAGGCCCYGGAGAGAGGCACAGAAAGCACCTGTCAGTGCTACACACTCCCCTGAAAACAGGGAAACCACGTCCCCAACCTCTCTCCTTGCTGTGCCCTCACTTCCTCCTGTTACTATTCTGGATAGAAGCCCTTTAAGATAGGGACTGTATTTCTGTTATTTCTATTATATTATTCATCTAGCTATTTAGAGCAYGCTGTCCAAACATCACCACTTCAGCCAAATGCTCTCCTATTGCAACTGAGCTACTCTGCTCCCTTACCTTCATGTTACCTTCTGCTGAGCCCGTAACAAAATAATCCTCAGAAGTGTCCAGTGCAAGGGCCTTAACAGCCGATTCATGCGCTTGGAAGGTGTGAAGGGCTTGTCTCTGTCTGATGTCAAAGATGCAGATGTACCCCTTCCTACCTCCAGAAATCAGCAGCTGATGTTTAGGTGCATACTGAAGCACTGTGGCACCGTGATCATGACAAGTGAAGGCTGAAGGAGAAGCAGCATGTCAGATTTTAACAAATTAGAAATTGGTAAGTAGCTTTCAATCTTTTGCATTATGCAAAAATGTATTCCTGTTAAAAGCCGTTATCTGAATATTTCCTGACTTGAAAATCTCCTTGCATGTGGGTAGGGTCATAGCAGCCAACAGCTGGATCTAATAAGCACAAGAAAGCTAGTTCAAAATGTACTATAGCTGAAGTCAAACACTAAGGTAAGTATGAATTACTTTACGGATGTGTATTACTAGACTTTACTTTCCTAACCTTTTTCTATAGGACTCCTGACTCAGTTTCTTCGCTGTGAGGCAGTACTTCTGCACAGGCTGGGAACCACTTTCAGAATGGCCCCAAGAACACACCTACTTTTTGCACAGGTAATTGCTAAGTTTATTCAAGTACCACAATTATTTGCAGTTGTTATGATGGGTGAAATTTTCTAAAAAGCTARGATAATATCTTTTTTATTTTTTACTACTTTTTATCTCATAGAATAAGATAATCAAAATTTGCTTTCATTTTATATATAAAGAAGAAATTATTGAAGCTCATCAGTTAGATAATTCTGGGGGAAATCTGGAAGTGCTGAAAGACAAGGACAGTATTTTTTTTAGTTGCTTCTACTACTACCCGCTCTTGTCCTTTCCCCTCTTCTTCAAGTACTGCATGTATTAATTGCCAGCTTAAATGAAAAAAACACAGACTTTAATAACACAGTCTAATTAAGGTCTTTTGAAACACTCTCTTTGGGGGGGGAAAAAAAGGACTGTTAGAAGTGCCATAAAAACAACTTTGCATATGTCAYCCCTTCACTGTTGTTCTTATACTGAGCAGATTTATGATTATGCTGGAGACAGTAGCAGTCCTGGTGCATGTACAAGTTTGCAACATGAATGTTTAGTTTAACTCCCCAAMACAAACTTCTCCCCTTGCCCTGAACACATACCTAGCTTGTATTTCTTTAATTAACAACTACAGGTTTTATTTTCACTGCAGGACTTACCATGTATGAGACTGTTGCCAGATGAAACCAAAGTGTCCCAGAGGCACACATTTCTGAGGGAAAAAGCAAAGTCTGTCACTGTAGCCTGTTGCTAAGTGATTCAGAGGGTGACATGACTCAGAAGCTCCTTAAGTCTWATGTCAAAACCCAGAAGGTAGAACTGAACAAGAAGCCCTTGATTCTCTACAGTTACTGGGGAGGAAATGGAAGGAATGAGGAACTGAACTCTTCCTAAGAGTTTATTTTCCTAAGACTTCCTAAAGAGTAGTCTTTTGTGCTTTCCAAGGCAGATAATACTTTCCCGTCTTTAAGATGCGTACTGGTCCTAGGGCATACCACAAAAGATAGATTAAATGTATGAGTTGATCTTCTCAGACAACAAGAACTATCTTGTTGTTGCTGAACATGTTTTTCCCCAGAGCAACAGAATGTGGTTTTTGAACACATCAACGCTATCTTGAACATAGCGGTCACCTGCGGACTACTCCTCACGAAAGGTAAGAGTTGGGAAGGAAGCGACTGAGGAATCATTTCTGAAGAACTGATCTGTTAAGTCCAAGCTGTAA